CCCCATCATTATCTCTGTCTCTCTGATCTGATGCATTCTTGCAACAGGAGCTGAGCTCTGTTTGTGCGTCTCATCTGACTATCAGCGAGCTTAGTCCAAGGTGTGAGACTCAGACCACAACACACACACTAAAAACACATGCACACATAAACACCAGACCCACACGCGCATGTTTGTTCTTCCATCCTCATGGGGACTTTGCATTGACTTCCATTCATTTCCAAACCCTGCAACCTGTGGCTCTGGGGCCCCACGTGGCTCTTTGGTCCCTCTGCAGTGGCTCTTTGAAAATGTGACCACACATAACAGATTTGTTTTTTGTTTTATACCCACAACAGACATAGATTTTGGCCTATATGCAAATATGTGATCAACAATACTAATACAAAAAGTAAAATGTTAGCTCATGCTAGCCTGTTGTTTACTTAAAGATGCCGATTTGTTTCTATGCTCTCTCTCTCTCTCTCTCTCTCTCAAATCCATCAGAATTACCTTTAAATAATTTGAAGACTACATAATATCCTTTCACTGGGCTGCCACCTTTTCGTGGTGGAGAGGTTTGAGTGTCCCAATGATCCTAGSAGATATGTTGTCGGGGGCTTCGTGTGCCTGGTAGGGTCACCCAAGGCAAACAGGTCCTAGGTGAGGGATCAGACAAAGTGCAGCCCAAAGACCCCTAAATGGACTGAGTGTTCCTTCGCTCGGACGCGGGTCACCGTGGCCCCACTCTGGAGCCAGGCCTGGAGGTGGGGCACGTTGACGAGGGCCTGGTAGCCGGGCTTTCGCTCATGGAGTCCGGTCGGGCACAGCCCGAAGAGGAGACATGGGTCCCCCTTCCCATGGGCTCACCACCTGTAGGAGGGGCCGTAGGGGTTGGGTGCAATGTGTGCTGGGTAGTGGTCAAAGGTGAGGACATTGGTGGTCCAATCCTCGGCTACAGAAGCTGGCTCGAGGGATGTGGAATGTCACCTCTCTGAGCCTCCCTGGTAAAGTCTATTCAGGGGTCCTGGAGAGGAGGGTCCATCGGATAGTCAAATCTTGGATTCAGGAAGAGCAGTGTGGTTTTCGTCCTGGTCGCGGACCAGCTCTACACCCTCAGCAGGGTCCTGGAGTGTGCATG